GCGGCAGCAGTGGCAGCCGTCGCAAAACCACTATGGAATCTCTGCCCGTCCGGCACACCCCCCCGCCTGGCCGGGCACCGGAACCGGTGCTCCACCACCGTATCAGCCCAAGGTGGGAGAGCAGCAAGGTGCTAATACACGCTCCTCGTAACAAACGTTTACCAAATATTAAACAGTGTTGTTGTGTTTCCACGTAGGACCCTCAGCACCAGTGCACCCCACAGGTGGCGCCCAAACTCCGGCCGCCACCGTCGTCGAACTCTGCTAACGGAAAGTCGGCCGAAATCAGCTCCCCTCCTCAGATGTACAACAAAACCGGAAGAGTCGATCCCAATGCCGAACCGCCGACCCCGGCTCAGGGTCCGACCCTGGGTCCGGCCGGGCCCCAGCCTCTGAGCCACGTTCCCGGTCTCGCCAAGGTGCAACACGTCATGGCCCGGGTGTCGCTGCTGCAGGAAGACGTGGACGAGTTTGTGGGCAGAAAGACGGACAAGAGTTACCGCTGCCTAGAGGAACTGCTGACCAAAGAGCTGCTGGAGCTGGACTCCGTGGAGACGCGGGGTCAGGACAGCGTCCGACACGCCCGCAAGGAGGCCGTGCAGAAGATCCAAGCGATTCTGGACCGGCTGGAGAAGAAAGCTTTCTGAAGGAGAGGTTTTGAGTCGAGTCCCGCCGTTTCCCCCCCGGCTTGTGGACCGCGGCGAGGTTTCCGGTCCGATCTCCTAAGCGGCGTCCGCCACTTATACCTTCAACGAATCCAACGCCTGTAAAACACGAGGACTCACGGGGAATGAGCAATAGTCGCTACACGGACTCGACACTTCCCGGTGGAGACGCCAGTGCGAGTGATGCAACGGTACCTCGGTTGTACATATCTTCAGACCTCTGAGCCACCGTGCAGGGATCAACTTCTGGGGCGCGGCCTTAATACGGGCCGAGGTCACAGGAGGACGCGGTACGGGGGACACACTACACAACTTTGACAGGTTTTTTTTTTTTTTTAAGTTTTAGAGCGCTTGCGCTAGTAGCCTCGGGGTCACATGATCTGTCAAACCAACAAGAACTCGAGGTTTTCACTGTGGGCCATCGTCGTAATGACGCTAGCACTTCAGTCTGTCCTTAGCATCTGTGGTCCAGGGTCACTCTGACCCACCTTAATTTTCATTGGCTGCTAGATTTGGCTCAGAAATGTTTGGTTAACTGCGACGACTGGGATTTGGGTTCAAGGTCGGGGTCAAGGTCAGGTCACGGTCTGTTCTTGGATATTTCTGACCGAAAAAACTCTGACAAAGTCTTGTAGTGTGTCCTTGTGCCGTCCCTCGGGATTGTGGGTCGGTGGGGGTGGGGGGTGATGTCTTGCAGCTCCGAGGAGGACATGCAGCGTAGCAGATGTTTGGGGGGAAAAACCAAACCAGGTTTGTCCGTCTTTTACCAACCGGACCAGCGTCAACGCAGTCTCCGTTTCTTCAAGTTAGCTAAAAAAAAATCGTCATTTGTCGGATCTTTCCTTTTTCCTCGTGTCATTCTAACATGTTGATTTTGTTTAAAAAAAAAAAGAAGAAAAAAAAAAAGAAAAAGGAAAAAAAAAGTGCCATATTTCGGGGGATGGATTTCTATCAAAAAACAAAGGAAAAAATCGAATTGAAATAAAATAAAAATAAAAATGACCAGCTTTGCATGAAACAAGGAGTCCGATCTTTTTATTCACATTTTATGCTCGACTTAAGCGTAACCACATCGAGAAGCAAGAATCTGACGATACGATACATATCGTGATACGATATATTGCAATACTATAGTCACAATGATATATTGTTGTTTTTTTTGTTTTTTTTTTTCTTTCCAGTGTAGCTATAGTCCAAGTGCGATCGTAGTCTCAGACTCTGTTTGATCGGAATATCACGTTACGAACATCGGAACATTTGGAATCACTAGAGAAGAAAAAGAAAATGAAGAACACCAGGAATATCGGACTGGGAATTGGTGAGAAAAAAAATCAATAACTGATGACGATGACGAGGAGATCGATACGGGACCAGGGATGGAAATATTGCGATATTTCATTGTGTCGTTATTTTCTTCCACCCCTAATCTTGACGACCTTAGAGTCTGCTGCGGCGCTCCCTGCCTGCCAGCATTCACATCTTTAAATAGACGGCTATTTTAATGCGAACCATAACGCGGCCCACGTGCTAGGGCTAATATGAGTCAGTGACAACTTTTTTAGGAACGCCCCCCCGGTGGTCAGTGAGAAGCAGAGCAGCCCCCCCTGAACTGAAATCAGAGCGAGCTTATACTGACGTTGTGGTCAACAGCGGAGAGCGGTACTGCTCGATTCCGTACGACTATGTCATATCGTAGTAAACTTCCCGCGTCCTGGAATGACCAGCCGGCGGCGCGACAAGTGATGATCGATCTGAGTTCCCCTGGCCTAGCCGTGTTCGAGCTGGAGAGGCTACTGTTCACAGGCAGAGCCATCATCAGCCACGCGGACGAAGTGTGGCCCAGACTTTACGTCGGTGACCAGTAAGTACTCCTCGGTTAGCGCTACTGCGACTCGTGAAGACACTACTAGCCTGGCTAGCATCTAGAGCTAACACAACACTATCGTTTCGCCTGTTTTGAATAGACGTTTATTAAATTACCACCAGCCGGCGCTACCGTTTGACCCTGCGTTGGATTCCTAACACAGTCGCGATGTTGGCCAATATGATTTAAAGATAAAGTGACGAAGCACTCGGTTCTTTGAGGATCAGCGATTTTTTACTTTCTGGATTTTTGTCGTGCACAGTAACTGGGATGTGCAGTACAATTTAAACCTTCTAGGGGGCAGTAATGCAACGTAGGGACCTGACATCTGGGTTTAATAGCAGGTTACGACCAATGTTGTTAGGCGTATACTGCCACCTGCTGGACAGGAGTGTGTACTGTCGTGGTACGACCAGTGACGATTGCGATAACAGCCTTACGACTTGATTTATTTTTTATTTTAACTGATGCGAATTGTCACGCATTCGTATGAAATTTTAATTGATTTGCGACCCATCGTTACATCCCTAATTATAATTAATCATGATTAATCCACAAAACTTTCAATCGTTTGAGCCACAACTTGCCCACAAGGCGGAGGAGGAAGTTGTCTGCAGTACCGCAGATCACCACCGCCAAACTCCCCGCACACCCACCTGTCGGCAGGAAATACCGGCGACATTTTTAGGGTTACTACATCGGCACGCTAACTGCACGGACCAAATTTTACTCTCAAACAAAACAATATCTGTGCGTATAGAGTGCCCCTAGTGGACGAAAAGAGGTAGTGACTCCAAGGCTCACTTTTTTTTTGGAATGTTGTGTTTTTTTTTGTTGTTGTTTTTTTTTACAGACAAAGCGCAGAAAACAAATCTGATCTGTCCAGGCATCGGATCACGCACGTCCTAAACGCGGCCCACAGCCGACGCAGAGGTCGGCCGGACATCTACGAGGACATGGCGGTCACATACATGGGTGTGGAGGCTCGGGACGCCTGCGACTACGACATGAGCGCCAACTTCCGATCAGCGGCAGACTTTATCCACGCGGCTCTCAGCAGAGGAGGTAGGGGGCGTAGTGAAATTATTTGATTGGACTAAAAATATTGTAATTTTTTTTTTCCCGCCCTCAGGCACGGTCCTGGTGCACTGCCACGTGGGGGTGAGCCGTTCGGCCACTCTGGTCCTAGCCTACCTCATGCTAAAGCAGAACCTGACACTGGTGGAGGCGATCTGCGCCGTGAAGGACAACCGCGGCGTCATACCTAATCGGGGATTCCTGCGACAGCTCATCCGACTAAACCAGCAGCTGTTCGACAAACGGAGCTGAAAATATTTTGGTTGAATTTCTTCTTAAAAAAAAAAAATTAGGGATGTCCGATATTAACCTTTTTGCGATATCCGATATACCGATACTGTCCAAACAATTAATCTCCGATTCCAATATCAACCGATATAGGCCTGGTAATATTTTTTTTTTTCTGTATGATTATGCAATTAATTAAATGAGCTACAATGCTGCCCTCTAGTGACTATCGCTTTCATATACAGCCGTTTTTTTCATGTCATTTGGCGTTATCGGGTTTTTATTATCGGAATAAAATGCGGACATCTGCTGGATGGGGGCAATGACGCAACTCCACAGAAAAAAAATCTATTTCAACAACAAATAAAAATAAAGAAAAGTGATCAATTTCTATGTGGAAAAAATACGATTACTTTATTATTAATTGTATTTTTGTTGTTTTGTTAATTTTTTTATTGTTACGTGTCTTCGAACAACAAATAAATCCTAAAAACTCTGTCATGTGACCGTGATTATTAATGAGGTGTGGGGGGGTGCGAGGGGAGTGGGGAGGGGGAGGCACCTGACATGGGGCACCAAACTGGCCTCAGAACCGCTGGTTGGGCCTCGGGGGAGTGATCGATGACTACATCTGCGAATCACGAATGCGTGATTCCGTTGTTTTATGCTAACAAAAAAGATGATTTGCTGACGGTCCGGTACATGGTTGTGTACCATACCGTGTTCATTTACAATATATAAATGTAATATAAATATATGTGTAAATATATATTTTTATATATTTACATATATACATGTATTTATGTGTGTATATATTTCTGTGTATGTATGTTTCTATATATATATACACACATAAATACATGTATATATGTAAACATATATTTATATATATTTACATGTATTTATGTGTATATATATGTTTCTATATATACAGACATAAATACATGTATATATGTAAACATATATTTATATATATTTACATGTATTTATGTGTATATATATATATGTTTCTATATATATATACACACATAAACACATAAACAGTTCAGTACTGTATGGTACAGGACAGATTGATTTACTTCGTCTCCGAGGTCGTCCACTGTAATCATTAGACAGTACAAATATAAAGAGAGAACAAATAGCGCGGAGTAAACAAAACCAAAGTTCAGCCTCTGGACCCCAGGGGTTTATAAACGGTGACATTGCGGCGTCCGGTCTGTGCTTCACTGTCTGGAGCGCTGACGAGAAGATGGTAAGAAACTAAAACCATTCACTAATACTAACACATACTAACACATTTATTTTTCTCCTTTTTCTTAGTGGAATGTTAACAGAAATACTACTGTCTATTAGAAGTTACCATTTAAGCCAAGTTTCAAGTAGTTTAATGACAGGGATACATATATATATATATATATGTATGTATAAATATATAAATATATATTTACATATATGCATGCATTTAATTGTATATTTGTATATATATATATACACACATAAATACATGTATATATGTAAATATATATAAATATATATTTACATGTATTTATGTGTATATATGTATATATGTGTGTATATAAACATACATATATACATATATATATATATATATGCATACATACATGTCTGTCACTACATCCATCCATAAACATTTTATATCGACCTTCGTCTCACCGACTTTTCTTCCCTCATCTCAGTTGTCTGAACCAGGTCTACGGCAGATGGACCGTTTCCACCTCGGTTCACGCTTTTCCTGTTCTTAACAGAAACCCGAAACGAATCAGTATCTGAATCCTAACTGGTCGAGTCACCACGAAAAACAAACGAAAACCTGTCCAACAAACAGGTCTGTAAATGATCGTAAAAAAAACCACTCCTAATCAATACTCCCGACCCATGCCTTCTAGTAACCACCTTGAACAGAACGCGACCTTTGAGCGACCATCGGTCATTTATCACCGATTTTTTTTTTTTTTGGTCCAGTGTTTGTTCCTCGCAGACGTTGCGTAACCCAAAACTAACGTCGCTCCTCTCTCCCTGCAGTTGTTTACGATGCGTTCCACCCTGAGTTTCTGGATCCTGTCCGCGGTCGTCTGTCTGGGCCGAAGTCACCACCATCTGGGCCATGGGCAGGACACTGCGGCGGACGAGGACTCTAACGCTCTGTCCTTGGTGTCATCGGCCAATAGGGAGTTTGCCTTCAACCTGTACAGGAAGTTGTCCACTCACCCTGAATCCAAGGGCAAGAACGTCTTCTACTCGCCACGCAGCGTGAGCCTGGCCTTGGCGGCCCTGGCCGTGGGCGCCCGCGGCGACACCCACCGGCAGCTTTTCGACGGACTGGGCTTCAACAGTTCCCTGCTCCAGCAGACGGACGTCGACAGGGCTTTCCGCGCCGCGCTGCGAAACGAGACGTCCTCCTCGCAAGACACCAGTGAAGGCACTGCCGCGTTCTTGGATCGGAAATTCCAGCCTAACCCGGACTTCCTGCAGGTCCTGAAGGAGTCGTACTCGACGGAGGCGTTCAACGTCGAGTTCGCGAAGAAGCAGGAGAGCCTGGACACCATCAACGGCTACGTGTCCGGGAAGACTGGCGGGAAGATCGACAAGCTGCTGGACTCCGTGGAAGACGACGTTGCTATGTATCTCGTCAGCTACATCTACTTTAAAGGTAAGCGGTCGCGACTAGGGATGTCCGATTATATCGGTTGACCAATATTAGCATGATTATGTACCGTTGTCGGATTTCCTCCGATAATGAAAACCCCAATGACACAGTGGGAAATCAGAAATTAAACGCTTCCACAAAATTGGCAAAAACCGTTCATATCGGACAACCCCCTAGTCACGACTACCCAGCTACGTGTAGTACCAGCACTAACCTGTAGTCTGTCTCTCTCTCAACAGGGAAGTGGAAGACTCCGTTTGACCCGACCAGAACCAGGAAGGAAAATTTCACGGTGGACGAGAACAACAAGGTACAAAAAAAAACATTCATTGAAATATTGCGAAATATTTGTATCGCAATACTGTATCAATTTTTTTCTTCCAGGTTCTGGTGGACATGATGTCTACCGAGGAGTTCGTTGACATCTACCAGGATTTGGGGCTGAACACCAAAGTCCTTCACCTTCCCTTCAACTCCACCTACAGCATGGTGTTGCTGTTGCCGGACAACATGGAGGAACTGGAGAAAACCATCTGTCCCGTTCACGTGACCAAGTGGCTGAAGTGGACCAAACCGAGGTGGGTGGGGAAAAAAAAGCGTCCGACATCCGTCAGAAATAGTCGAAGGAAATCGAAATTCTAGTTTGTACCAGTGTAGAGAGCCCAAGTGCAGCGGTCCCTGGTTTATAGTAGCAATGCCGTATTTATGCGCAAAAAAAATGATGATGACTTTTACTGATTTTACGTCTCTCCACAAGGTGGTGCCATTTCTTGGGGGCACTTCTTCCACGGGTTCCGAAGGTATATCCGTAGTAGTAGCAGGAATCGGCTTTTTTATTGCGAGGCTGCAGAAACTGCAGAAACAGAAGCAGTTGCTTCCACTGCTTCTTTTTTACAGTCGAAGACTAGCTTGTAGGCAGTCAAGACGTCATCGATTTTGTTGCCAAATTATATATTTGAACAATGAAACAAACGGCTAAAGTTAGCCTCTAGCAGTGACATCAATGAAACAGACGGCTAAAGTTAGCATCTAGCGGCTATGTCAATGAAACAGATGGCTACAGTTACCATCTTGCGAAAGATGAACTGCGAACTAGGGAGGGGAGGGGGCTGTGTGTGTGTCAGCAGCCCAGGCTGCTGACACACACACAGCCCCCTCCCCTCCCTAGTTCGCAGTTCATCTTTCGCAAGATGGTAACTGTAGCCATCTGTTTCATTGACATAACCGCTAGACGCTAACTTTAGCCGTCTGTTTCATGGACGTCACTGCTAGATGCTAACGTTAGCATCTAGCAGTGACGTCCATGAAACAGACGGCTAAAGTTAGCATCTAGCGGTTATGTCAATGAAACAGATGGCTACAGTTACCATCTTGCGAAAGATGAACTGCGAAATAGCGAGGGACCACTGTACAACTGGCGCTACTCCTACCGTAGTTTGAGAACCACCGTGTTTTTCACGGTACATGAATTCCAAATGTGTAAATGGCGCCACCCACAGGCTCCGGCCAGGAAGCGACACGCTTAATATTATCAGAAAAATGCTGTAAAACACTCAAATGGTCGCTGAATAAACACGTCACACATTTTTTACGGCTACCTGTTTTTTTTCCGATTTTAGGAAATATGAACTCTACCTTCCCAAGTTCTCCATCAAGACCTCCTACGATATGAAGGACGCATTGAGTGAAATGGGAATGACGGACATGTTCGGTAGCAGCGCCAACCTCCGAGGCATATCGGAGAAGGCTAAATTAGCCGTCTCCAAGGTAAAAAAAATTTCAGAATTTTTTTTTCGTCCCTCTTTCTCATTCCTCCATTAACGAATCGCCCGCTTCCGTCCAACCACAGGTGGTGCACAAGGCTACCCTGGACGTGGACGAGGCCGGCGCCACGGCTGCGGCCGCCACGGGCATCGGAATAATGCTGTTGTCCTTCCAGACGGTCCCTGTCCTCAGGTTCGATCGCCCGTTCATGGTCCTCATCGTTGATCGCACCGCGGAGGACGTCCTCTTCGTGGGCAAGATCGTCAACCCCACCCTGTGATCGTAGACTGTTGTGCTGCTTGTTTTTTGTTTTTTTTAACAAATAAAGCGAATACGACAAAAAAAAAAAAAAAAAAAACACGACTGTGGCGTGTGACTATTTTACGTAAATTATCACGTATGTTTTGAGCGTTGCTTGTCAGAATAATATTTTGAACATACGAATTCCACATTTATACAAGGTAAAGACAGATGTTGTGGACGTCGTAAACGAAACAGGTTTTTAAGGCTGTACTTCGTAAACAATTATTCGAAACTAAATACTTTATATTGGAAAACGATTTCCAATCTGCCCCAAAGTGCGAAAGAAGTTGATTTTAAATCTATAAATAATATTTACCCCTTGAACGAATTGATGAAAGAAAGATTTAAATTAGAGGTAGATAATACTGACATTCGCGAAACGAATCTGGAAACGACAGACCGTCTGTTTTACGAACGCGAGATTCTCCGAAATTCGTGGAAATCTTAAACCCCTTGTTTATTTTTAATTTATTTTATTTTTTTATTTTTGTTTGATACATTATTTTTTATTTTTAATATTATTTTATTTTATTTTATTTTTTTCTTGAAAGAATGTTTAAATAAAGTAAAACAAAAAAAGGTTTGCTTTGGCAGTGCCTTCCTGCATTCCGTCCGCGCATGCGCAGTCATACGGAATCGTCCAATACATGAAGGAGGGAGAGGCGAAACGATCGTAACGCGTGAGGATTTGGATATCTTTAAGGCGCGAACGTAATAATTGATTAAAACATTTATATAATATACGTAAATTTTAATAATTACGTTATGTTTATATTTTTAAGAGGCGGTAAAATTCTTTGCAGCACCGGAAGAACGGACGTGAAACTTAGGGCAATGGTTGCCAGGTCCAGTGATTATAAGCAATTTTGTAAATTAGCTTAGAAATATCGTATACGTAGGCTTGGGATTTTTTTCGTTGCTAAATTTAGTTTTAATATTTAATAAAACAAATATATTCGCGATAATAGTAAACATTTTAATTGATTTGGCGCTTTTTTTGCATTCGTATTTTGACCAAGTTGCGTGTGTTTCCACCAAATCTGGCAAAAGGGAATGCTCGCTTGTCTCTTTATTTGACGCTGCAATGGACCGAAGACAATGTTCGCCGCCTTCGCGCGGCGCCTGTCGGGATCGGCTGTAATTCGCGTCGTGACGCTGAAAACATTTAAGCGGTTGAAATCGGTTAGCGTAAAATAAAAACGGTAATTTCTTAATTCTTTGTTGTTGTTTTTGCCCCCCTGCGCTTCCATAGCTCGACAGTAGTTGGCAGTGTAGCAGTGCGCCGTCGGACTCCGGTTAATGCGATGAAGAAAACGTCCTCGGCCTCTGATTGGTCCGTTTCGTATTTATCACAGACATGGCGGAAACTGGGGGAGAAGAAGTGGAACGCGGACCGTACTTCTTCAAAGAAAGGATCAAATGTAGCCCCGAGGAGGAGGCCAACCTGGAGAGGCAACATTTCTGGAGAATCGTCGATGCGTTTCGATTCTACAGGTGACGACGAAACATTAAAAAAAAAGACGGGAGCCGAGAGTGAATGTGATCGG